TTTACTGAGAATGATCTATGTAACATGCAGCCTTTTTTTTTTAGTACTATAGGAAAAACTTTAATGACTCCAATAAGCAAAATTTTAAAAATACTTTCATAATGGAAGCCTGCTACTGAAGTTTGTTTGTCAAGAAAGACCATAATTCTTTTTTTTTTTGGTGAGGTAAGTGGGGTTAAGTGACTTGCCCAGAGTCACCCAGCTAGTGAGTGTTATGTGTCTGAGGCCAGACAGATCCTCCTGACTCCAGGGCCAGTGCCCTATCCACTGTGCCACCTAACTGCCCCAACATCATAATTCTTTTTTTTTTTTTGCTTTTTAAAAATTAATTTATTTTAATTTATCAATAATTACTTCCATAAGGTTTTGAGTTTTAAATGTTTCTCCCCCTCCCTCCCCAAGACGGTGCACAATCTGATATAAGCTATACATATACATTTCTATTAAACATATTTTCACATTAGTGATGTTATAAGTAAGAATTAGAACCAATAGGAGGAACCACCAGAAAGAGGAAACAAAACACAATAGAAGAAAAAAATAGCAAATAGTATGCTTCAATCTGCATTCAAACTCCATAGTTCTTTCTTTGGATGTGGATAGCATTTTCCATCACGAGGCCTTTGGAGATGTCTCAGATCCTTGTATGGCTGAGAAGGGTTAAATCTATCAAAGTTAGTCATTGCACAAGTGGCTGTTACCATGTACAATGTTCTCCTGGTTCTGCTCACTTCACTCAGCATCAGATCATACAAGTCTTTCCAGGTGTTTCTGAAGTCCACCTGCTCATCATTTCTTATAGCACAATATTCCATGACATTCATATACCACAACTTGCTCAGCCATTCCCCAATTGATAGGCATCCTCTCAATTTCCAATTCTTTGCCACCACCAAAAGAGTTGCTATAAGTATTTTTGTACATGTGGGTGCTTTTCCCATTTGTATGATCTCTGTGGGATATAGCCCTAGAAATGCTATTGCTGGGTCAAAGGGTATGTATTTTTTTATAGCCCTTTGGGCATAGTTCCAAATTGCTCTCCAGAATGGTTGGATCATTTCACAACTCCACCAACAATGCATCAGTGTTCCAATTTTCCCACATCTTCTCCAACATTTATCATTTTCCTGTTTTGTCATGTTGGCCAATCTGATAGGTGTGACGTAGTAACTCTGAGTTGTTTTGATTTGCATTTCTCTAATCAATAGTGATTTAGAGCATTTTTTCATATGACTATAGATGACTTTAATTTCTTCATCTGAGAACTGTTTTGACCATTTATCAATTGGGGAATGACTTGTATTCTTATAAATTTGACTTAATTCTCTATATATTTTAGAAATAAGTCCCTTATCAGAGAGACTAGTTGTAAAAATTCTTTCCCAATTTTCTACTTCCTTCTAATCTTGGTTGCATTGGCTTTGTTTGTGCAAAAACTTTTCAATTTAATGTAATCAAAGTTATCCATTTTGCTTTTCATAATGTTCTCTATCTCCTGTTTGGTCATGAATTCTTCTGTTCTCCATAAATCTGATAGGTAAACTATTCCTTGCTCTCCCAGTTTGCTTACAGTATCAGCCTTTATATCTAAATCATGAGCCCATTTTGACTTTATTTTGGTATATGGTGTGAGATTTTGATCTATGCCTAGTTTCTTTCATACTCTTTTCCAGTTTTCCCAGCAGTTTTTGTCAAAGAGTGAGTTCTTATCCCAGAAGCTGGGGTCTTTGGGTTTATCAAATAATAGATTACTATAGTCATTGACTACTGTGTCTTGCATACTTAACCTATTCCACTGATCCACCACTCTATTTCTTAGCCAGTACCAAGCAGTTTTGATGATTGCTGCTTTATAATACAATTTAAGATCTGGAATGCTAGGCCACCTTGCCCTGCATTTTTTTCATTAGTTCCTTGATATTCTGGACCTTTTTTCCAAATGAATCTTGTTATTATTTTTTCTAACTCTATAAAAATTTTTTGGTAGTTTGATTGGTATGGCACTGAATAAGTAAATTAGCTTAGGTAGAATTGTCATTTTTATTATATTAGCTCAGCCTACCCATGAGCAACTGATGTTTTTCCAATTATTTAGATCTGACTTTATTTGTGTGAAAAGTGTTTTGTAATTGTGTTCATATAGTTCCTGGGTTTGTTTCAGTAGGTAGACTCCTAAATATTTTATAATGTCTACAGTAACTTTAAATGGCATTTCTCTTTCTATCTCTTGCTGTTGGGCTTTGTTGGTAATATATAGAAATGTCGATGTTTTATGTGGGTTTATTTTATAGCCTGCAGCTTTGCTAAATTTATTATTTCAAGTAGTTTTTTTATACCTGATTCTCTAGAATTCTCTAAGTTTTTAATCCATTCTGCCATCCGCTTCCATTTTATGGGAGAGTTCACCCCATTTATATTCACAGTTATGATTACTATCTGTGTCTTTCTCTCCATCCTTCCCCTCCTCCCCCGTTTATGCTTTTCTTTCTCCTTTCTCCTTTTCTTTCCTCATTAGTGTTTTGTTTTTGGCCACCACCTCCCTCAGTCCCACCTCTCTTCTATTAGCCTCCTCCCTTTTCTTCCTCTATACCCTTACTACTTCTTCCCTCCTTTCTATCCCCCCACCCTTTCTTTCCCCTTTTCCTTCCTACTGCCTATAGGGCAAGTTAGATTTCTATATCTAACTGATTATGTTATTCCCTTCTTGAGCCAAATCTGATGAGAATAAGGTTCAAACAATACTCATCTCCCTCCCTTCTTTCCCTCTACTGTAAAAGGTTTTTGTGGCTTTTCCTGTAATGTAATTTACCCTTGTCTGCCTCCTCCTTTCCTTTTCTCTCAGTACATTTTCTTAGATCAGATTAATCCACTTACTTGGATCCATGTAACCCACTTGATTAGAATTTTTTTTATTGTTACATCAAAGTCAACTTATACCCACTCCCTTTATGTATACCCTTTTAACATGGTGTAACAACAATACAGTTCTCAGGAGTTACAAGTGTCATCTTCCCTTGTATGGATGTAAACAGTTTGCCCTTATTAATAACATGTTGTTTCTTTCTGTCCCGTTTACCTTTTTATGTCTCTCTTGAGGCTCGTATTTGAAGATCAAATTTTCTGTTGAGCTCTGGTCTTTTTATGAGGAAGGTTTGGAAGTCTCCTATTTTGTTGAATATCCATCTCCTCCCCTGAAAAATTATGCTCATTTCCGCTGGGTAGTTGATCCTTGGTTGTAATCCAAGCTCCTTTGCCTTACGGAATATCATATTCCATGCCCTATGGTCTTTTAATGTAGAAGCTGCAAAGTCCTGTGTAATCCTGACTGTGGTTCTGTGATATTTAAATTGCTTCTTTCTGGCTGCTTGCAATATTTTCTCTTTGACCTGGTAATTTTGGGATTCGGCTGCTATATTCCTTGGCATTTTCAATTTGGGATTTCTTTCAGGAGGTGATCGGTGGATTCTTTCTATGGCTATTTTACTCTCTGGTTCTAGGACCTCAGGTATGCCAGCCTCTTAAGAAAGGTCTTAGAAGAAATTTTTCTGGCTACCTTAATCCACAAATTCATCAAAAAAAAAACAGCCTTGGGAATATATCTACAAGTTAGGCAAAAGCTACTAGCTGTCAACTTAGCCTCCCTGGGACTCAAAGTAAAATGAGAATTTTCTATTAAATGATAACTGGGGGTCTATTCCATATCTAAAAGTACAAAAGGGCCACTCTGAAGTCAGGCAGGTAATGGCTACCATTTACATATCGCCTACTATGTGCTAGGAATTGTGCTAAACACTTTGCAAATATTTCATTTTAGTCTCACAGAACTCTTAGGAGGTAGTATGATTGTTGTCTCCATTTTACAGATGATGAAACTGAGGCAAAGCGAGGTTAACTGGTTTGGCCAGGGTCTCACAGCTATTAAGTGTCTGAAGCCATATTTGCACTCAGGCCATCCTGATTCCAGGTTCAAGCAGTTCTATCTATTGTACCACCTAGTACCTAGGTGAGGGAAGGTCTTTTACTCCAAGCTAAGATTCAGGGGTGGGCAGCTAGGTGTCCTAGTGGATAGAACAACAGCCCTGGAGCCAGGAGAACCTGAGTTCAAATCAGACTTCAGGCACTTAATAGCTGTGTGTCCCCGGGCAATTCACTAAATTCTGTTTGCCTCAGTTCATCTGCAAAATGAGCTGGAGAAGGAAACAGCAAACCACTCCAGTATCTTTGCCAAAAAAAACCCTAAATGGGGTCATGGAGAGTCAGACAAGACTAAAACAACTCATCAATAGCAAAGATTCAGAGTTAGATGATGTAGATGATACAATATAGTGAGAAAGGTGACAAATTGTATTTTTAAGCTTTTATTTTTTTCAAAGGACCAAAAGCTTCTTCTAAAAGAATTATTTACTTTACTATTAAAAGTTAACAGTTTAAAGAAGTAGTTATTATTCATATTAAAATAACACCAAGAAAGCATGTTAAGTTTTTCTCCTAATTAAACACACCCACAATTTATGCTTTGCGGTTTGGAGTAAGTAACCAAAATACACTGTGGTCATCTCATATCAGCATACCTAAGTTACACATTCAGTTTTTTGTGTGTGTGCGCGCACGCGCGTGCGTGTACAGTGTATTTGTGTGTGTGTGTTATTTTGCATTTTGCATCTTTTTTAACTTTTAAAGAAATTTTAATTGTATTTTTTGGGTTACATTTTAAGTTTTGAACTATCTCGCTCTCCTTCCCTCCCCATCTTGCACCAGAAAAGGCCACTATTTGACACAGACATATATAACACAGATATATATATGTATATATAGGCCTATTATGTAAACCCATACTATGCATACGTCTATTTATCAGTTCTCTCTCTGGAAGTGGGGTAGCATCTTCCCTCATAGGTCTTTTGTAGTTGATTTGACATACAGTTTTTTACGAGGTGGTATAACTACATTGAACTTTTAAAACTAAAAAATGTAAAATAGCAAAAAGATAAAATACTTACAAATGAACAGGATGAGCGTTAGTCTGAAAAATCCAAACAAAGGAACCATGCTTTTAAAATTCTTGCCAGGAGAAAAGGACAAAAGTATAAGATACTATATATGATCAGAAAACATCTCAGTTCATCAGCCTCTTCATAATCATCAACATAAAACATGAGTTTACTATTAATATTGCTTATGTTTCTCTAGCGTCATAGGGGTACAAAGTACTTTACATCCATTATTTCATTTATATCCATTCATTTACATTCCATATTTACATCCATTATTTCATTCAGTGCAATAAAATGTGTATACATGTATTACTATTCACATTGTAGATTGAGAAATGGAAGTTCAGAAGATTAAGTGATTGATTTGCCCAAAGGAATAAGTAGGTAGGAGAGTAGCACTTGCTACTAACTGGCCATCTGGCAAAAGAAAGCGTTGTTTAAGGCACTGCAAGCATACCAACTAAAGAGAATATAAAGTTTCCATCCTCACGTATTTGACCACATTATTTCTTCCTTCCCTTTCAAGTTAACCAGAACCCTATTCCCAGGGAAGCAGCCTGAATTTTGTTTGTTTTAGTTGATTTCCATATTTGGAAGAGATTTGATAATAATCCCATTCATTTTCCCCTCTGGTTGTATTTTTAAAATATGTCTATTCAGGATTTGGCCCTGTTTAGAAACAAATGTTTGCCACTCGTGTTACACTCCAGTTGAATATGTATGTTCAGTAAATACTGATAACAATTATCATCCCTGAACCAAATACCAGTAAAAAAAGAAATCTGCCAATTGGTATTCCCCATTCCCTGGAAAGGTTCTTACCACTAAAACGTTCATAAAATAGCCTCCCGTGAGAGCATAGACTCCTCCTGAAGCCCCCACTAGAGCTTGGAAAGGTTCACAGACAGAACTTCCAAGAGATCCTGCACAAATGAAAGAAATTCAGAGAATCAGAGGTGTATCAAAAGTGAAAGCACCACAGGGAGGCTGAAAGGGAGGCTGTTGCTATGGCTACATGGTCTACAGGTCTCCCCACCTCAGGTCTTCCTCCTCTCTGACTTCATCCTTCTCCTAATGCACAGCCCTGATCTTGTCACTCATTCCTTTACCCAAAACTCTTCAATGGCTGCTCCTTATTGGAAAGTTCAAACATTAGGCCAAGTTCTGTCCCTCCCTCCGGCTTTATCTCATTGGCCCTGCACGCTATACTCTCGTATACTTCTCTTGGTTTTCCCTCCCTGTTGAACACTTTCCCCACTTCCACACTTTGGTTCACACTGTTCCTCACATGCAACACCCATCCTCCCATCTCTACCCGCCCATCGGAGACCCAGATCCAAGGCCACTTCTCTAAGATGCCGTCCTTAATCCTGCTCATCCACAGTCCCAAGCTGAAAACGACCATTCTCTCCCCAGATTTGTTGTATCATGGGATTATATCATCAGGGATCATCTAGCCTAGTGCCTTGATGTTAGAAATGAGAAAACAAACCCAAAGAGATTAAGTGACTCGCCAAAGCCTACAAAGGCGGCTGTTGTCTTTTGTTCTCAGAAAGGACCAAAATGACATCACTATGTTGGGGTCAAGGACAGTGTGTCCAACTGTGGCTGATCAGACCAATAGGAGCTCAGAAGGTTCCACCATAGGTTGGGCACAAAGAGTCCACACGAGCATTTGGACTGGAGATGTCTCTAAATTTGTGGATCTTCTAGTAAATAGCAGGGTCAGGATTTGAACCCAGGCCCTCAGTTTCAAATCTTATATGTTCTGTGTCATATCCCCTCTACTTGACTGTGAACCATCCGAGGACAGGGACCCAGTCTTATTTTTCTTTGTATCTCTCCTAACACCTAACACAATGAGGGACATACTGTACTTCATAAATGTTAAATAAAGTAATTGAACTAAGAGCCACATTTCTCTAGAATACAGTGGAAGTTCAAGATGTTTTTGCTATCTGCTGATATTTTAACACACCAGCAAAGACCTCCAAATTTATTATTTCCAATCTTGGATATCAAATAGAAGCAATACATATGAAAAGGGCCTGACATCTCAAGGCAGGGCTCTTCAAGCTAACTAATCACCATGGTATATTCTGAATATGCTTTCCTCTACATTACTTAGTTCTCCTCCTTGATCTCTGCCTTTTCCCATGTCCTTCTTTGCTCAGCCTCAGTGGCTCCCTTTGGCCTGTGACATCAAATTCAAATTCCTCAGCCTGGTTAGTAAAAAGGGAGCCCACCCCTGCAATCCAGCCTTATTTAATCATCTACGTTTCTATAGTGCTTTTAAGATGGATGAAAAGTTTTCCTCACAACAGTTGTCACTCTCATTTTACAAATGAGTATACTGAGGCTGGCAGGTTGAGCTATTTGCCTGATGTCCCACACCTATAGAGTTGCTAAGTGAGGATTAGAACCTAGCTCTCCTGTTTCCAATGCTCTTCTTACACCCCCTCATGCTGCTGCTCCCCACTGCTTTCCTGCCTTATCCCAGCATCCACTGGGGGAAGAGAGCCTTACCATCTTCTCAATGTGCCATTGTCGTTTCCATGGTCACACCTGTACACACACCAGTCTCTCTTCTCCCGTCATGGATGTCAAGCACAGGTCCTGACTTCTCTCTATCTCTTCCTTTGGCTACTATGGGAGTCGTTCATCACTACCACACAATGACCCCCTTCGTGACTTTTCTAATGGCTCCAGATACATTCATTTTATTTCCTGAACTCTCTGGGAGTAGGACCATGTCTTGTCACTTCTGTACCCCTAGAGCCCCCAGCACTGCATGGGGCACATAGTCATGCTTGATAAAGGCCATATTGATTCAAACATAGACTACATTCCCAAAAGATCTTTTTGAAAAGGGGGGGGGAGGACATAGCTATACATAAAACAAAGAGAATTACTGTTTTAGAATATATTTCCCTATGGAAAAGGTTTTTTCCCATTTAAGTTTTAAAAGTTTCATTTTTAGCCATTGCTATTCTCTGACTTCATCAATTTCATTGATATTGTCTGAGAACACAATTATAGGCTGCACTTGGAGTTTTATACAAGCCAAATATGAAGGAAAAATTCAGTCTACCCCTACCAGTGTGCTATCTGTTGGTTGCTTTCTTAACTCTGTCCACCCTGGACATTGAGTTTGTGTCTGTCCCCAGAATACTGACCTGCAAACACTCCTGACAGGTAGACCAGCCCCACTCGATGACCTTTGTGAACCATTTCCAAGGGAAGTCCCAAAAGAAGCTGCATAAGTACATTTCCACAAATATGCTGAAACCTGCGAGTGAAAACAGGAATTTTATCACCAGTGTGTGGATATGGAAGCTGGTGATGTCATCAGCAAACCACTCAGCAGCTTTCTCTGAGGGATTACACAGGCCTGGGGATATTGTCTCAGCTTTATAGGTATGCTTAACCCAGAGGCTGCCATCAATTTTACTGCTGGCATTTGATAACAGTGTAGTTTGAAGTTTTTTGTTTTTGTTTTGTGCTCAGGAGTCTGTAGAAAAAAGAATTGTAGCCAAAAGAGACCTCAGCGGTGCTCTAGTTCAACCTATAACTGACCAGTCACCCCTTTCACAATATACTCAATCTGTGCTGTTCATCCAACCCTCCAGTGATGGAGAATCATCATCATCATTATCATCATCATCATCATCATCATCACCACCATCCATATGGAACTTTAAAGTTTTCAAAGAACTTTATATAAATTTTCTCATTGGGCAAGTCACTTGACCTCTCTGAGGCTGTTCTGGTGACTAACAGGCTTGTCACTTCTGTGACTGCCATGGAAAGGGGGGTTTGACCTGATTCAACTTTCCTTCAAAGTTCCTGTTTGCTTTTCACTCAGAGTCCTCATGGGACTGAGCAGTGACTGAGACACAGACATAAGATAGAGCTCAAGAGACATTCCAATGCCCCTCTCCCACATCTAGAACTGTAACCAACAGAGTTGCTATCATGGGGACTGGGGAGGGGGGGGAAAAGGGGAAGAACCCTGCCCTAGGCACATTCACATACATGCCTAGTGTTTTTTGAATGAATACATAAGTGAAAAAGTAAATTTTATTCCCCAAGGGCTATTGGGGATAAGGTACAGGCAGGCTAGAGAGCAGGCTGAATCACCCAGAACCGGAAAGCTGACATCCCCAGGGTGAGAAGGAATCTTCATTGTAGTAGAGAAAACACTTGGCCTTGGGATCAGATGGGTTGAGTTAAAGATCCAGGTCTCTACTTAATAGCTGTTTGACCTTAGACAAGTTACTTTATTTCTCTAGGCTTCCAATTCTTCTTGGATGAGCTGGAAAAGGAAACAGCAAACCATTCCAATATCTTTGCCACAAGAAAATCCCAAATGACTTCACAAAGAGTCAGACAAACTGAACAACAACCAAACCTTCTGTCTCTGACCTTCTGTTTAGTTTTGAGTTAAAATTCCTTGCATTTTCAGAACAATGTTGATTTTCATCTAATTCCCACCAGTCCTTCACACAGCCAGGTGGCACAGGGAATAGAAAGTCAGATGTGCAGGCAAGAATCAATCAATCAATAAGCATTTATTAAATGCTTACTATGTGCCAGACACTGTGCTCAGGCAGGAAGATGTGAGTTAAAATCCTGCCTCCTACCTTTATGAGCTATGTGATCCTGGGCAAGTCACTTAACTCCATCTGACTCAGTTCCTCATCCATAAAACAGTAGCACCTACCTTACAGGGTTATTGTGAGGATCAAATGGGATAGCATATGCAAAGCACTTTGCAAACCTTAAAGTTTTACGTACATACTAAGTATGATTATTATTAAATGCCCCCTCCTCTGTGAAATCTTCCCAAACTGGTTTCTCCCTTATCTATCACCTATAACACTAATTTTGATACTTAATCATAAAGTGATGTAATCAACAGGGCTGATGGAGACCTCAGAGATTATCCAATCCTGCCCCTTTAGTTCATAGATAAGGAAACTGAAGATCCAAAAGGTGACCGCCCAAAGTCACAGTGTCAGAGAAAGGGTTCATATGCTGCCGCAGGTTACTTAACAGTATGTGAGTCTGGTCTCCCCACCTCAATCTGTAGTTCTTGAGAAAAAGGACTTTATTTCATCTGTCTTTTGCATTTTCCACAGTACCCAGAACCTATTATTGTAGGTGTTCAGCAAATTGAGTTGTAAAGGCCACATAACTTGGTCCAAAGAATCTCAGGTCTTAATGACTATGACCTTGGGTTGCTGGGAAAAGAGGCCAAGAACCTGAGACCCTATTTCTGGCTGTGGACACTACTAGCCATTGGCCCAAAGTGTGTTGTCACCTGAAGCCTGCTGTCTCTAGCATTGGCTCTCATTATTAGCATATTGTAATTGCTAGGATATACACACAAGATTACAAAAAAGCAGTCTGCACTGAAGAAAAGCTAGGTAAAATGAAATGGGTAGCCTTCCAAGCAAGACTGGCTACATCTGAGTCCTTGAAGATGAGGTAAATGTGTTTGTTGGAGCTCACTAAACGGTGAGAAGAACAGGATGGGTAACACGATCTAGTTCAAAGGGAAAATGCAAAAAGAAACAGACTAAGAAAAACAAGATTTGGTTTTGAAGTTTATAGGACTTAGGATATAGAACTAGATAAGGAGCTTTAAAGATCATCTAGTCTAACTCTCTTCATTTAACAGATGAGGAAACTGAGACACAGTGAGAGAAATAACTTGACCCCAAATCATCTATGTAGCTAAGTAGCAGAGCTGTGGGACTTCTGTGCGGTACTATCTCTCCCCATGAATGTTACATATATGCATTTACATATATATGCATATGTATACATACATATATATTACATATAAACATATAAAACATTCTTTATAACAGTCAGCATCAGTTCCCATCTTATTTCTTACCCAACATGCACCATCATGTAAGAGATGAACCTCCAAGCTTGCTTCCTCTTGTCTGGCCGATAAATGAATGGACTCTCCCAGATGCCCATTTCTGGAGTGTTCCACTCTTCCTGGGGCTTCCAGAAGGTGTAGTAAACGAAAATACCAAGCTGGCAAAAACAGTGACAAATAATGTCAATGATACTTCATCCAAGTCCAAATAGTGGCCCAGCTAAGCCCATAGATAGAGTGCCTTTATTTAAAATGGGGTGGCTGCTAAACAAGGTGCCCTACAATAGATGGTCAGGAATAACAAGACAGAGATCATATGATCATTGCATGCCCTTCCCCAACCCTGTGTATCATACTTCCTCCAGATACTAGTAGTCAGTGGAGTCAAGGCCAGCCCTAGACAAAATTGTGAAATTATCCAAATGTATCTTCAGTATATTGAACCTACTCCTGCTCTGTTTTGCACTTCTCTTTTATCCATTCCTACTCTGTTTTTCATTCACTCTAGACATTCTCCTCTGTCCTTACCAGAATCTGTTCTTGGGGAGAAAAAGCCTGTTATCAGTCATTTAAACTTTAGTGTGACCTTAAGACATTATATTAGTCTCATTTTGGCATGCTTAGTAAGCACTTCACTGTTTTTTCATTCATTCATTAGAGGTGAGTATCACTGAACAGATTTGGAGCAAGGGGTGGTTCTGGGAAAGACATCACTGCATCCTTGAAATCATATGGCAAAAGCAGCCTCCATAGTTACTTTGCCTAAGCATCAAGTCACTTTGAATGGCATCACCACTCTATCTGTGGTTAAATCCTTTGAGAAATGTCATTTAATCTCTTAGCAAATGTGTGGGCAGGAACTCTTAAGTAATTATAATGACTGCTCTTGGTCCCCAGAGCAGATTTTGAAACATAGCTTCCCCCTTCTTTCAGCTGAGAGATATACTGTCAGAACAAAGTCACTTTATAAGTGGTTTTTGCTTATTTGTTTGTTGCTGTTATTACGACAAGGGAGGGGTCAGTGTTGGGGTCCTGGGTGGGGGGGATTCTAGAATTGACTTTGATGTAAAAATAAAAGGCTGAACTTTATTTTTAAAGTAAGCTGAATTCTGAGATTATCCTCGCCAAAGAATTGTTGGGATAAAGAGATGGGGGTAAAAGTGATGTGGGAAACAAAGCCAAAGCAACTAAGATTAGAAGGAAGGTAGAAAATTGGGATAGAATTTTTACAACCAGTCTCTCTGATAAGGGTCTCATTTCTAAAATATATAGAGAATTAAGTCAAATCTACAAGAATACAAGTCATTCCCCAATTGATAAATGGTCAAAGGATATGAACAGGCACTTCTCAGATGAAGAAATTAAAGTCATCTATAGTCATATGAAAAAATGCTCTAAATCACTATTGATTAGAGAAATACAAATCAAAACAACTCTGAGGTACCACATCACACCTATCAGATTGGCCAACATGACAAAACAGGAAAACAGGAAAATGGTAAATGTTGGAGAAGATGTGGGAAAATTGGAATGCTAATACATTGTTGGTGGAGTTGTGAAATGATCCAACCATTTTGGAGAACAATTTGGAACTATGCCCAAAGGGCTATAAAAATGTACATACCCTTTCACCCAACAATAGCACTTCTAGGGCTATATCCCAAAGAGATCATACAAATGAGAAAAGGACCCACATGTACAAAAATATTCATAGCAGCTTTTTTTGTGGTGGCAAAGAATTGGAAATTGAGAGGATGCCCATCAATTGGGGAATGGCTGAGCAAGTTGTGGTAAATGAATGTAATGGAATACTATTGTGCTATAAGAAATGATGATCAGGTGGATTTTAGAAAAACTTGGAAAGACTTGTATGATCTGATGCTGAGTGAAGTGAGCAGAACCAAGAGAATGATGTACACAGTAACAGCCATGTTGTGCGATGACTAATATTGATAAACTTAACCCTTTCCAGCAATACAAGGATCTAAGATATCTCCAAAGGCCTCGTGATGGAAAATGCCATCCCCATCCAAAGAAAGAATCGTGGAAATTGAATTGCTATTTTTTTCTCTTCTGTTGAGTTTTGTTTCCTATTTCTGGTGGTTCCTCCTATTGGTTCTAATTTTTACTTACAACATCACTAATGTGAAAATATGTTTAATAGGAATGTATATGTATAGCCTATATCAAATTGTAGGCCGTCTTGGGGAGGGTGTTGGGGAGGAAGGGGGAGAAAAATTTTAAACTCAAAAGCATATGGAAGTAATTGTTGAAAAATCAAAATAAGTTAATAAAAATTTTTTTAAAAAGTGATGTGGGAGATTGGTAGTTCCCTTCCATCATGACTTTAGGTAATTGATCACCAATCAGAATTTAGATGCAGTTAGTCAAAGCCACAAAAACCTGCCAGAGGCCCTAGCCATCAGTCTGCTTCAGAACTGACTCCTGTATTCTCTGCACTTGGAGATTTGAGAATTCTTTATTTGCTCAAGAAAAGTGCTAACTCAGAGAGACTTGCTAGAAAAACATTTCAGAGGGAGACACATGTCCTTGGCTGGGCAGAGAGGAAATCTAGTCCTGAACACCAGTAGGAAACACTTACCAGGACCTCTAGATAGCAGGTTGGTGATTTGTTCCTATAGGGGGTGATGTCTGCACACATTGATTAATAAAGTTCAATTGCATTCATTGAGAAGCATAAGTCTAATTGGTGTTTCTGTCACACCAATTGATATACCTAACTGATAAGTAATTGGTAAATTAGTTTTAAATAAGTGCACCATGGGTTACCAAAGGCAATGTTACTATATTGCAAAGTACAGGAAGAGAATATGGTCTATAAAGACTAAAGGTAGAAAGGGGGCAGATTATTAAGAGATTTTTTTTAATTTATATTTTATCCTAGAGGTAATAGGGGGCTACTAAAATGTATTGAGTAGTAGAATAATATTGGGGAAAGTATTATACCAGGCATCAAAGGAAGTCTGGGTTTGAATCTCATTTAACTTTATAAGTCTTGGTTCCCTTTGTAAAATGAGAACAAGAATAATTGTTCTACCTCTCACAAGTTGGTTATGAGGGACAATGGAAAATAATGTACATAATGCTCATTATAAATTAATATATAAATTTCAACTATTATTGTATCAGCAAATCTCTAGATACAGACCTCAACTTCAGGTTACCAGGCCCTGTCCCAACCTGGGGAGAAGTTAATCCATTCACTTTGGGGGGTTACTCTCCAGGGCTGAGGAATCCTTATTGATCGGTGACAGTGAAAACTTACCTAGCCTACCACATCTATCTAGCCCCAGTCCACACTTTGCATCTCGCCTAGCCATCGATAGGACGAGCGGGATCTATTGAAGCAAGCATCTCGCAATCTACCCTGCCATAAGGATTCTGGTCTCCTTTTCTTGAGCCCCTTGCTCTGGGAACAGTGATCTAGTCAATACCACCATCGTTCCTGGCACAGGCATGACAAGCTATTGCCCCTATGGCTCTGCTCACATTTCCTCTGACTGACCTGGTCCAAAACTCCCTTACCTGACCACCCCTCCTCAGTGCTAGAATGTAAGAATCTTGAGGGAAGAAGCTGGCTTACTTTAGCATTTGTATTCCCAACAGTTAGTACAGTACCTAGTACATAGTGGGTATTTGATAAGTTAGGACTGATTGATTGTTACAAAGGGATTTCTCTTTGGGAATAGGTGGCACATATGACTTCTGAGGTCCCTTCAGATACTAACATTCGATGATGAAGATGCTCTCCCAGTAGATATCAGTGACAAAGGAGAGTAGGAAGAGAAAATGAGATGGTTGTCAGATAAGGTCCAAAACATGAGGCTCTGCTTGACTTCCATGCAGTCCAGAAAAGACTACACATTAAGCTCTAATCTTTTCAGCTACATTTGTGTACAGGTAACAATCAACCTTGCTATCCATTTTTAATACAAATAATAAACATGTAGACTATGCCTATTTCATGACAGAAACTATCATCTATACCTACAAATTCAGATTTCAGAGACTTGGGGGGGGAACATGCAAATCTTATTCTGCTTACTAATTATTCTTATTATTCTACTCCAATCTTTTCAGTGTAAACATGAAACTAATCTCTTAATATATAAAAATTTACACATCACTATATTTCTTTCTTCAATTGACTCAGACTCAAGCTCATACATTTTCCCAACCCCAACTAATCCCCATTCAAAGGATCATATGTAGAGAACTGGAAGGAACCACAGGGGTCAGTCAGCTGACATTTATTAAGCACTTATTGTGTGCCAGGTGTTATTCTAAGCACCAGGAATATGAATAAAAATAAAAAGAGTAAAAAAAAAGTGATGTGGGAGGAGGCATTAAGCCAGGACTAAGAAGGACAGGAAGAAAGAAGAACATGGAAAAGTCTGAGGACTGAGCTGGAGAGAGCATCTGGTCATTACTTGGTAAAGATTCTGTCTGTCACTTATCTTTTCTGCTCCAGGTTCATTCCATCCCCTGTCCCTTGTAGATGTAAGCAGCAGGGTTTGTTTCTGTTCCTTAGGGATGCTTATCTAAGGACTCTCTCTCATCCTCTTCTTCCCCCCTTCCTCCCCATAAGCACATATCTACCTGGAGAATGCTGATGATGGCAATGAACACAGGGGGTGGGAAACATCTGGCTCTCTGCCAGTAGATTCCTCCAGCACCTGGAGGAAGGATCCACTTTGAGATGGGATTGTGGACCTTTTGACACCACATATTAAGTATGTGTCCCTTTCTTTCCTTCCTTGGCTGATTCCCTATTTCTTTCTTCTCTTTCTTTTTCTTGTATTCCTCCACATTCTGATGCCTCCTCCCCATCTCCACCAAATCCTCAGGGATCATTCTTCTGAGTCATCTCACCACTTGCCAAATCATAGGTGTATATCAGGATAAAACACATGACTATAGCTATAGACTTGGAGCAGGGGCCAGCACCCTCATTGGCAGAATACCCAGGGGTTTTGCCCCTGGTTCATTGGCTAGATTTGGCTTCCCTGCCTCTTCCCTTCTGGGGTGAGGGCTAGCAGCGTGATGATTCAACTAACTGATCTCCAGGTGCCTAGCACTATCATAATCTCTACAGCCTCATCACCATGTGTGTAATTGTGACAAAATGCCAGGGGCATCTCCAAAGAGAAGACTCCCAGTAGGAGTCATCAGCCTCAATCACTGCTGTCACCTAAAGCACTATAGGCAAGTAAGCATCCTCTTCAGCCTGTGGCATTCAAAGATCTCCTACCTGTCCTCAAAGGCCTCATCCTACCTGTCAGCCCTTACTTCTCCTACTCCCTATATAGCAATATGGGAGTGGAGGGTATTAATGGATGAGCAGGAAGGGCCTCAATGTAGCCGCTATGTCTCTGAACTCTTGAGGTCTCATGACTAATCTATAAGCAAAGATAGTACGTTCTAATCATAAGAAACTTTGTTGATGAAAAGGCTCTGTAGGTCAAAACAATATAGGAGACCCCCAAGAATATTTTCTGAGACATCAGAAAAGATTAGGATGATCATCTGAAAATACCACCAGATAGCTAAAATAGTATATAACACACTCTAAGCTCACAGTTTTCAGAGCTAGAGGGGATCTTGTGGGTCACGGAGTCCCACTCCTTCATTTTACTGATAAACTGAAGACCAGAGAAGGGAAGTGATATGATACATCCAGAACTGGAAAGTTATCTAGTGCAAACTTCCAGTCTTGGAGGGACGGTGGGAGAAGGGAATATACATTTAAATAGCACATACTATGAGCCCTCTATACAGTGCTAGGCACTGTGCTAAGCACTTTACGCACATATCTCATTTAATCCTCACAACAACCTTGGGAGGTAAGTGCTATTATTATCATCCCCATTTTACAGTTGAGGAAACTAAAGCAAACAGAGGTTAAGTGACTTGCCCAATGTCACACAGCTAGTATGTCGTGAGGTTAGATTTGAATTCAAATCTTCCTGGTGTCCGATCCAGTGCCACTTAGCTGCTTCACTAACTAGCTAACTAACTAAGGGGATTCACTACCTTCCCAGGTAACACATAACACTTTGAGACAGCTCTAATTGTAAAGTAGTTTTTCCTTAGATTAAGCCAAAGTCTGCCTCCTGTAATTTCCTCAAGTTCTGCCCTGTGATGCTGAGCAAAACCAATCTAACCCTCTTTCCACACGATATCACATTTATAAAGTGATTTTAAATCTCTGGAAGAGTTGAAGGAATTAAGATGATGACAGGGAGGAGAGGATCCAACCTGAACTCTAGCTGGGATGGCAGGAAGACAGCCAGAGAGACCTCTGCCAAGAGGTCACAGTGGGCTCTGGGGTCCTAGAAGGAGCCAGTGAAACATAAGCCAGCTCTCCCTCTAACCCACTGGTCACTTTCCAGAATATCCTTCCTCAGTTAATTCTCTGAAAGTGGAGACTTTCTGTATCTGCCTAACATCTCAAAGAATACCAGGTCCAGAAAATAGCCACCACATTTTAAAAAACTATTATTAATATGATATATAATTATAATAATATATTAATATAATAATGGTTTCTTGGTTCTTGAATTTTTGTTGCTTCTCATAAATTGGCAAAAAGGAAGAGATGCTAGACTTAAAGCTCAGCCCAGGGACCCTGCGACCAGCCAGGGGTGGGGAACCTGCAGCCTTAAGGCTGCAAGTGGCCTTTTAGGTCCTTGGGTGCAGCCTTTTGACCAAGTCCACATTTTACAGAACAAATCCTTTTATTAACTGTGATGTTTGGATTCCGTCAAAGGGCAGCACTTGAGGGCCTGGAGGGCCACATGTGGCCTCAAGGCCGCAGGGTTCCCCACCCCTGGACAAGCCTAAAGAAGTCATTTTCTCTGAAGGTAGGAGAAGACTTCTCTGGGCCTCCACTGACCTCTTTCCTCCAGAGGAAGCTTAAAGTATAAAAAAGATCAAGTTCAAACCTGGCCCACAGAAGGCACCAGAAACAAGGAAAAATTCCTCCAAGCCCCACACATGACACTTATCCATAACCCTGACATTGCTAGTGCCCTCTCCTCAACCAAAAATAAATCACTTTGTATTTAGTTGGTATATAGCCTGTATGTACTTCTCTATGCACATGTGATTTCCTCCCAATAGAATGTAAACTCCTTGAGGGCAAGGCCTGTTTTAGTTTGGTCTTTGTGCCCCCATAGTTATTAACAGGGGTGGGAAACCTGTGGTCTCAAGGCCACATGTGGCCCTGTAGGTCCTCAAGTGTAGCCCTTTGACTGAATCCAGACCTCACAGAACAAATCCCCTTAATAAAAGGATTTGTTCTGTAAAACTTGGACTCAGTCAAAAGGCTGCACCCAATGACCTAGAAGGCCACACGTGGCCTCAAGGCCACAGGTTCCCCACCCCTGACTCTAGCACAATTCCTGGTATAGAGTATGTGTTTAATAAATAGTTGTTGAATGAATGAATGAAAAAGATATTAAGGTTGCTGGCTAGAGACATGGAAAGGACAATAGTGAGAAGGAATGGTGGGAATGGGATCTAGTAAATTCCTGCCTTATCCTCTATATTTACATCTCCCTTCCCTCCCTTTTTGCCACATAAGTCAGGTATGCAACATGGAAATGAGGAAAATTCCAAGACATACTCCCAATAGGGAAAGAGAAGGTGAACAATTTTTTAATTAAACTTTTTTTCAACTAATTAATCAAGTGTCTCTCTCCATCTTTGGGAAGGGAAGGAAGGGAAAGGAAGGGAAAAGGGAAGGGGAAGGGGAAAGAGAAAGGGAAGGGAAAGAGGAGGAAAACTCTTGTAACAAATATGTGTAGTCAAACAAAACAAATTCTCACATTGGCCATATGTCTCATTCTGTTCCATGAGTCCATCAGGTCTCTGTCAGGAGGTAGGTAGCATGCCAAGGAGGTGAAATTAAGAAACTAGAAATTACAACAACAATAGCTAGCATTTATATAGTGTTTTAATGTTTGCAAAGCACTTTATAAATACTATGTGATCCTTACAACCTTGGGAGGTACATACTGTTACAGATGAGGAAACTGAGGCATATAGACGTTAAGTGACTTGCCCAGTCAGAATCTGAGGCAGGATTTGGACACAGGTCTTCCATCTCCAAGTCTAGCTCTCTATCCCTACAGCTACCACCTTCTTTCTTTGCCCCTTGCCAGAATCCCAAAACTAGAGGTTTTGACCTTTGCTCTGAAGGTACCACAGACCTGACAATGGAAGGAAGAGTATGACCCTTAAACCAAAAGGTCCTACAGGGGTGGGCAATCTTCATCATCAAAGCCACCCAAACTTCACAGAACAAATCCCCTTAATGAAAGGATTTGTCCTGTAAAACTTAGACTTAGTCAAAAGGCCGCACCCAACAACCTAGAAGGCCACACGTGGCCTCAAGGCCACAGGTTCCCCACCCCTGTCCTAGATCTCTGGTGCAAGGAGGGAATGGATTATAAAGCTTGGATTATAAAGGTCTTCTTTTCTGGGAGGTGATGCCATTCTCCATTCTGGAGATGCCATCATGACCCCTGGCTACTTTGCTTAGTGGTTCTTTTTCCATGGCCTGGGGACCGATGGTCCCCAGGCCATGTAATCAAAGCTGCAGAAATAGTTCTGTGGAACTCGGGGGGCCTGTGAGTGTAGTGGGAAAATACACTGGCCTGGAAGTCAGAAAACCTGGGATTGAGTCATAACTTCTGCTACTTGGTTACTCTACAAACTTGAGCAAGTCATTACAAGAGATCTAAGATCTCTTCTAGATCTCTGACTGGAAAGGTGTAATTCCCCCCTTGGGGCATGCAAGTTTTGTGTGTATATACTTGTTTTTTACATTAGAACCAAATTCCCTTTGCCAAAAAGTTACCTGGTAGGTGGTAATTTGGCTTAAGGCAAAACTTCCTCTCAAATAGGTGTTCTTTACTCAAATTTCCATGGATAGATTTCCTTGGGTCTATAAACTGGGGTGGGGGAAAAATAACGTTATTATTTCCACTAACCTCTAATTGAAATTTAGCATATCCTTCAATTATTTAAAAATATGATACTGAAGGGCAGCTAAATGGCGAAGTGGATAGAGCACCGGCTCTGACGTCAGGAGGCCCTGAGTTCAAATCCAGCCTCAGACTAAACACTTGACACTTACCAGCTATATGACCCTGGGCAAGTCACATACATACATACATACATACATACATACATACATATATATATATATATACACATACATACATATATATACACACACATATATATGTTACTGAGAAAGAATCTTTAGGTTTCACTAGCCTGCCAAAGGGGTCAATAATGCACACAAAAAAGTTAAGAGCTCCTGCTTTTAAAGTAATACTGGTATATTTTTACCCATGTTCCATAAATGTTCGCTGTTGTTTTTAAAGAGAATAGAGGTGTGTGTGATTTCTTGGACCCAATCTGCCAATAGGTGCAAATGCCAAGGTCAGAAGATTCCTGGGTTACAAGACTAGCTCTGAGGAAGCACTCTGTGAGCCATCTTCAAAACAGCATCAAGGGCCATTTGTAAGAAGGATGTGAAACATTTAACAAGAAATTCAAGTAGCAAATTTGTAATTATTGTCACAAGTATACTATACTTTTAATATGCCAAGCATAATCATTTTGTGAGTGTAGAAGAGAAGTTGACTGGGGGGCCCTTTCTCAATTAAGTCCCCCTCAAACAACTTGTTGAAATTATAGGGGGTCAAAGGTACATACCTACATGCAGTTATCCCTTCAACATGGGGGAGATATAGGCATTCATGGTCTCCCCCCAAGTCCCTGCCTCTGTGAGCTAGAAAATCCAAATAAAATTTTTTGGCCCTCCCTTCATACCAGAGAAGAAGTCTGAATTTTTTTTTTCTTTTATAGGGTGTTTACACTACCTTATTGTAAAAAATTTGGGTTAAGTATTTGGTCATAGGCTCTATTTCATCTGCTGGCCTTCACATGTCATCTGTGGCTTCCACAAAACTCCCCAAAAACTCCCATTTAACTTTGTATGCCTACCTGTGATATATCAAAAC